GGCAAAATGCTAGTTGAGTGAGAGATTGGAGTTCTCAAAATTGAGTTGACTTTTCGAAAGCAGCGGACACATAATTTAGATATACTCATTCATTTGTTGTTAAATTAAAAATGATAAGTACAATAAAAATAAAAATTATATAGAAATAAATTTAAAGTTTTCATTATATAGAAAATAACAAAAATCAATGTACAAAGTTTCGACAGTTGTTTGCAATATTTCTGATTTTTTTACATCAGAAGTATAAAATGAAAAAGCATAATATGCATCTTTCAACCAAAGGAGTAAAAAACTAAAGAAATAAGGCGCTATTTGTCCATATTTTTTCCAAAAACTTGATAGGGATGATCTCACTAATCTAAACATGCATAAACAATTTAAGATTTTTTTTTAATTTTTTCATTTTTCACGAAAGTAATAAATAAGTGTACAATTTATAGATAAACAAGTATGATCTAATATGTTGTCTCATTTATATTAAATAGGACTAAAACATAATTAATTTTCCAATGTAGGACCTACACTTTTTTAATTTCTAAATAGGACTTAATAATAATTAGTGAGAAGATTAATGTCCAAGTGATGCTAAACATTTAATTGAATAATGATTAATAGATAATGACCAATGGTCTTACATTGGAAAATAAAAACATATGGTCTTATATTGAAAAAGTCATTATGTTTTAGTATTATTTAAGTAAATTACTCTATAATATACGGAGTATTGTACTAGGATATTTAACTGTTAATATTTGTCTCATTTCAGATTTAATGATACTCCGTATATACTCCGTATTTGCTTTTTGAAAAGGTACAATCAATTACTCCGTATTAATTAAATTATCATTCAAGAAAATGTTAATTAAATTATAAATGAAGATAAACAAAATCAAATAATTATAAATATATACTCCGTAAATGTGCAAAAAACAAACAAAAGTTGCATTAAATTGGATTTTGAAATTGGGCTGCAAAAATAGGGCATTGGGCGATTCAGCAAAAGAATCAAAATCAATTTTCTTTTACCGCATTGGGCCGCAAGTTCCTTTCCCGCTTCCCGTAACCCCGTAGGACTGAGTTCCCAGACGGCCAGACCAGCAGACGGCAGACGTCCGCCGTCCGCCTCAGTGCACCGCCGTCTGCCGCCTCAGTGCATTGTTTTTTACCGGCAATGGATTCGTAGAGGGCAGACCCGCAGAGGACACTGGTTTCGGCGTTTCACAGAGTTGGGAGAGGATGAGGGTTGGCGTAGAGGACCCTGGTCATCGGGGAGTGACGTCGGCGGTTCACCGGTTCCGGGATTGAGGTAATTAGGGTCGGAGTTCAGCGAAGGATTCAAGGAAGTTAACGTTTTTTCAGCCAGGACTGGCATGTCCGTGCTCCACGGCTGCTACGCATTGCAGCGAAAATTGCAGGTTTATGCCGCGTCTGGATGTATCAAGAGAGCAATCAAGGCATTGAATTCAATGAGGTGCGTCTCCGGATACCCAACTATTCATGATTACAATTCCTTGATTTATTGCAATATGAAGTCGAAATTTGTGGCCGTAGATGATCTGCTAGAGGTTTATTTGGGGATGAAGAGGTTTGGGCTTTCCCCTAATGCCGCGACATTCAACACCATGATGAACGGGCTGGTTTCATCAGGGAGGGTGAGAGATGCCATTTGGATAGCCGAGGATATGGGTGAAGTTGGATTCTTACCTTCATTTAGTATGTTGTCCAAGTTGTTGAAGAAATCTTTTGATTTCGGTAGCTTGGAGGATTCGTTTGGTGTTTTTGAGTTTATGTTGAAGCTGGGATTTGTTCCCACCGAGCCATGTTTGATGAAGTTATTTGTTGCTCTTTGTGAAGAAGATTCAAAGGTTCCTTCAGAAACAGCAGCTTCTCGTGTTTTTTCTGTTCTAATAAATAAAGAGGATTGTTTCCGAGATTCGCACGACTTTAATCCCATATTCTGGGCATTGTGCAAGTCTAATCATATCGATAATGCTTTAGCATTTCTTTGCTTTTTGAAAAAGAAGGGATTTGAGTGTGACGTGTACTCGTATACTGCATTAGTTTATGGGTTTTGTAGGAAGAGGTCATGGAAGGAAGCATATGAGTGCTTGGATAAGATGGAAGCTGAAGGACACAAGCCTAATGTGATAACATATACTATAGTTATTAAGTCCCTCTCTGATAATGAGAAAATTAAGGAATCGTTATACCTCTTGAAGGTGATGGAAGAAAAAAAGGGATGTAGTCCAGACATGGTTACATATAATGTCATATTCTGGGCACTTTGCAAACACAAGAGGCATCGTTTCAATGTAGGAAAGCTTTTCCAAGTAATTGACCGAAAAGGATTAACTCCTGACAAATATACTTATGCTGCTATTGCGGTCGGCTTGTTGAAAAGGGGTAGACCGTGCGTTGCTGAAAGGCTTCTCCATCGAATTATTTCTTCAAGTTGCTGCTTTGTGGATATTGTGATTTATAATATATACTTGAATGTTTTGTGTAACTGTAATAAAACAAGAGAAGCTCTCTTTGCATTGGATAGCATGATTAGAACAGGCATTAAACCGACCATCGTGTCCTACAACACAATATTGATAGGAATATGCAATGAGAAACACATTCACGAAGCTATGGAAATTTTTGACCAGATAGGCTGGCCTGCTGATTTGGTGTCTTTCAATATACTGTTGGCTGCTGCATGTGAACAAGGAGATTCTACAGTAATAGAAAGGATCCTATACAGAATGGAACATGAAGGGTTTGAACTTGATGTGGTGAGTTCAACTTGTTTGATTTTGTACTTTTCCATGGCTCAAGAGTTCACACAATTTCTAAATTTTCTAGATAACTTCATTGGTAATGGCTCTCAAATTAGTATAAGGACTTTTAATGCCCTCATGAGCAGCCTTTGCCAGAAGAGATTAGCTGAACGGGCATACACTATATATACACATTTTAGGAGCAATGGGATTTCACCGGATATCAAAACGTATGATATTCTTTTACGTGGTTTGATAAAAGAATGCAATTATTTTCTGGTAGATGAGTTGTTAAGGGATATGTGCAAGCAGAGATTGAAGCCAGTTATTCTCACAAACAGGCGTATGCGTAGACTTTGTAAAGAAGTCAACAGCTCTTCTTATGATCTGAAGCTGAGGTATCATTTGCATGAAAATGGGATCAACCGAAACACCATCAAGTTGGATGATTCACTTAGCAGATGAACAATTTGGGAATCTCTCACTGTCAAATATTTTGGACGGGGATGGTTGAAAAAGATAGAAAATGTTACAGGCATGATCTCAATTGTCGTAGCTATTGATAGACCTGGCAGTTGTAGAGTGTCTAAGGCCTAAAGTAGCAGGAAAGGACCTTTGGGCCATTTGACCCACCCTTGAAAAGAGCTCTTCCCTTGGTGACCTACACAACTTTAGGCTGGGTGTCCTTCAATATCTCAGGCTCAGGGCAGTGTAGGCCACAGAAATCTGGTACGCCCATGCCATGTATATGGGATTCAAGTTGTGGAATAACAACTGCAAGGTATGCACATTATCCTATCGATAATTCTTGTAGTCATCTGCTAGCCTGTTACATGCTTCTCAACCCCCCTTGCTTTTAACATTGAAAATGTGGTAGCGAGAAATATTAATATAAATCCGTATAAAACTTGTTCTGAAACCGATCCTTGTTTTATAGTCAACCAGCCTTGTATAAGCAAACAAAGCAGAAATTGGGCACAACTGAGTTCTAGATGTCTACTTGTGAATTTGGCTTTTAATAGTTCTTTTAGCTTACTTTTTTTTTAAAGCTCATAAAATTTCTGAAATTTGATATACTCCCCTCTCCATACACATTGCTCTATTTAGGAGCTTAAATATAAAGTTCATGTTAAATTGTGTTATAAAAGTCTGCTCTTGACCTGCAGTTTCTTGGATCATCTATTGCAGGCCAAAGGCGCTTGCTGAATGCTGAAAATACTTCAGTAGGGCGGTTTGTCAGCTAAGTGAACTAGTTGGACCCAAAGAAACGAATTTGTCCCGGTCATTTTCCAAGAAGATCGACAGAATATGTAGTGTTGGTTAGATTGATCCATAAAGGAAATATAGATAGGTGTGATCATATTTCAGGTAAGTGGTTAATATGTTTGTATGTTGAGCTATTTGCAGAGATATAATGTTAATATTGTTACACAGAAGACATTTCATTTGTTTATTTCCTCTTCTATTTTGGTTCTCTTGTTTTGTTCACACATGGGATCCACTTCAAGGGAGTTTCAAGGGCGCTTTTGATAAATTGTTATCCTTCCATTTCAATGATATAAATTTTAGTATCAGTTTTTTAAATTTAAGGCAAATTAATTCTTTTATGTACATATGATCTGACCTTTATTAAAAATCAAATAAGCATTTGTTTACTAGTGAAATAAGTATTTATAAATTCTTTTCAAAAAGAAAAAAAAATTGTCTAGTTCAATTTTAGATCCATAACTGAACATCTTTAAATTCAAAGATATAAGTTTGGTGAAAAGAAGACACGAGTTGGGAGAAAGACTAAAATAAGAATAAAATATATAGAGAAATTAAAATTGAATAATTTTGTTTTTGTTCTTAAAATAAAATGGATGTGTTTTTATTCATTTTTTAATACAATGAAATTGTTGAGGATGAAAAAATAATGCAATCTCATAATATTTGTTTAATTTTTACTTTTGTTAACATTAATAAATTGTAATTATACATTAAAAAGTCCAAACATTTTTCAAGTCGTTCTTCACAAAACCGGCTTGAATAAAAATCAAAAGTTTATATTGCTCAATTTGCCCGGTTCAAAATTCGGGTTATTGTACTGAGAAACCCAAGTCACTCAGCCAATGAGGTGCCACCTGTCGTTGACCCAAGCCAATCACGGAACGCCACGTGGATTCCCGACGTAGCAGAGCCCACACCTTCTTTCCTCATAAATCGTACAGCATCACCGGCACCGGCAGTTAAGGGAGAGAAACCTGAAGAGCGATCCGTCTCGCCGCGATCCTCCGGCAATCCATCGGCGCTCTTTCTCCGGCAATCGTACTCCGGAGAGGTGTCTGAGAGGGAAAAACTTAGGGCGTTATCGGTTAGGCGATTTCGGCGACATTATGGAAAGTCACGGTTCCGGATTCCGCCGCGTTCTCGTCCTAGCTTTCTGCGTCGCCGGCATTTGGTCTGCGTATATCTATCAAGGCGTTCTCCAGGAGACTGTGTAATCTTATTTTGATTTTGATTGATCTATTTGTTTTTACTTCGGATCTTCATTTTGCTGATATTCGTAAATGATTGAAATCCCATATGTGCCGTTATAACGCTTTGAATTTACTGTAGTGTTATGGTGATATATTTGAAATGGATGAAATGCTTCATGACATTTCCAGCTTTCAGCTTCAGTTTTTGATTAGGCTAAATAAAATGATACTGAATATCTGGCTTAATTATTTTTCACTGGCTGTCCTGGTAGGAAATTGGCATTTTTGCTCTAAGTTTTGAAGTACAGCTTCTTCTTCATATATATGGTGCGAGCAACTGAGTTTAATTTTGGTGTATAGATCAACGAAGCAATTTGGTCCGGACAAAAAGAGGTTTGAACATTTGGCTTTCTTGAACCTGGCGCAGAATGTGGTTTGCCTGATATGGTCTTTCTTGAGTAAGCGTCTTAGGGTATTGTGCTCTGTTTTTCATCACTTCTTCCTCAGCTTTGTAATGGATTCAGTGTGATTTTGTGCAGTGATACAGATTTGGTCTAATGGGGGCAGTGGTGGTGCTCCCTGGTGGAGCTACTGGAGTGCTGGCATTACAAATACTATTGGTCCTGCTATGGGGATTGAAGCCCTAAAATACATCAGCTACCCTGCACAGGCATGATCAGAATTTAACCAATTCTGTTTTCTTGTTTTAAAGCTTTGTTATGAGCTGTTTAGAGAGTTCTCCTAAAATAACCTCTGTATTTACCTGATAAATTCATGCTTGGTTATATAAAAGTTATGCTAAGCTTGATTTAAGCTACTGTAAAGTTGATTTTTACTAACCTTGAATTTAGAAATTATCTTCCATTGTTGATGTCTGCACACATACTAAGAAAGCAATAAAATTTTCTAAAATATATGAAAGCAGGACGATGTGACTAGTTTTTCTCTGTTTATGTTTTAAAGTACTATGTAATACTCCATATATGTAGCATCGCATTTATAGACGTAGAATGGTTATGGTCAAAAATGCTATCTTGATATACTAAAGCAACTTGGATCTCAACCATACATAAGCTACATTTTAAGGAGTTAAAAAGAGTTTAGTTGAATTGAATTCATTTCTATTCCGTAGTAATTTGATACACATACACCTATTGATCTATGTACTTACACTGTTTTCAAATTTATAGGTTTTGGCAAAATCTTCAAAAATGATTCCTGGTGAGCAACTCTTTCCGCGAAGAGTTTTAATTGTATTTTGGATTTTTATGCAGTTTGGACTAAAATGTTTCCTGTTATTTATACTTTTGGGCTGTTGTCAAACGGTCAAAGTCTCAAAATGTTTGGCCTCCCGAAAGTAGAATTGCTACTCCATATCTTATCCAAAACATCCCTTTGGCTTTAACATATATTTTAAGTGTTCAATCAAATGCTTTGCTGTATATGTTTTAATTAGAAAAATTAAAACATATCTTATCCAAATCATCTATGTCCATTAGAAAAATTAGTGTTAGCTAAGCTATAATGTAGTTAATGGAGAATAGAAAGGAAGAACTCATAATGTTTTAACCACAAGTGAATTACGTAGCATGAAACTTCTTTGTTTTGTTTCCTTTTGTATTGCTTGAAACTAGAAATTTCTCTAGGTGATATATCATTTGACATTCTCTTTGCAGTGATGCTAATGGGTACTCTCGTTTACGGCATAAGATATACCATTCCTGAGTATGTCTGTACACTACTTGTGGCTGGTGGAGTTTCCACTTTTGCACTTTCAAAGGTAAAATTTGACCTCATCTGTAGAGCATACTTTATGTTACGGTAACTTCATGTTCCGATTTAGTTGTTTTTCATTCACGTATTCCTTACATGCTTCTTGTGGAAGCTTGGGGCTCAGGCAATATGATTTTTTCTCGGTGGCTCTGAATTTGGTAATTAGTTTTTTTTCATTCATTGCAGACTAGCTCAAAAACTATAAGCAAGCTGGCACATCCAAATGCTCCACTTGGATATGGACTGTGTTTTTTGAATCTTGCATTTGATGGTTTCACCAATGCTACTCAGGATTCCATTGCACTAAGGTTAGATACCTTTTTTTCAATGATAATTACTATTGTGCCTCAACATCCTATGATTTTGTTGGCCCAACATCCCCCCACCCCCACCGGTCAAGAATCTAACAGAAAAATTGTGCTATCCCTAAATTACCTTTTACTTATACTCATTCAAACATTCTTGGTTATTATAGAAATACTCATAGTTGAGGTGGATAAAGGAAAGGGGGATATTTGCCTCTCTATCCCAAATTTTTCTGTCATTCTAGGAAATTTCACACAATATAAGGAACCACATAAAAAGTTAACATTTTCTTTGTATTAATAATCATTAGAAAGCATCACATTTCTCTTGAAGTTTGTGCCTTTTAATTTTAATACTCCCTCCGTACGGAAAAATATTCTTCCCATTTTCCTTTTTGGTCCGTCCGGAAATATTCTTCTCATTTCCTTTTTTAGTATACTTTTTAAGAATAAATTTCAATAATACCCTTCTATTTTATCACTAATCTACTTTTTTAGTATTTTTTTAATAAGAAAAGGAGATTTAAAAGTTTATAGTATGTGTATTTTTGAAAATTTTGCATTTTTTTTACTATTCCTTAATAAGCGTGCCAAGTCAACACGGGAAGAATATTTCCGGACGGAGGGAGTATATGGAATATTAAAGTATTTTGCCATCTAAGGGAGTGATGTAATAAATGGTGTTTCCAATACTCCTCTTGCAAATTGCAATTACTGATCATTTAACTTAACAAGATTAAACAAGGGAAATATTTGGTGGAGAAAAGTGGAAATTACATCTTGAATCCCTGAAACACCATTGCTCCTATTATTCTGGGACAAATATGATTAACCCTTTGAAACAAAAAGCTTTTGAAACCAACCATTTCAACCAATAAGTAACTCAAAACCTTATTTCTGCTTGTATTATTGACTACTACTTGTTCCCCTCAGATACCCCAAGACGAGCGCATGGGATATAATGCTGGGGATGAATTTATGGGGCACCATATACAACATGGTCTTCATGTTCGGTTGGTCCAACGCCAGCGGATACGAGGCGGTCCAGTTCTGCAGGCAGCACCCAGAGGCGGCATGGGACATTCTCATGTACTGTTTGTGCGGCGCCGTGGGACAGAACTTCATTTTCCTGACCATTAGCCGGTTCGGTTCTCTGACAAACACGACCATAACCACGACCCGCAAGTTTGTGAGCATCGTCGTCTCCTCGTTGCTGAGCGGGAACCCGCTCTCCGGGAAACAGTGGTCGAGCGTCGCGATGGTCTTCTCGGGTTTGTCGTACCAAATTTACTTGAAGTGGATGAGACGACAGAAGTTGCAAAAGAAACGTAAGTCGACTTGATTTTCTTTCCTTCTGTTAGCTACTATAGAGAGAGAGGAGGGGGGGGGGGAGTCTGCCACTGAGAATATGTAGTCTATAATATCTGATTCATAGAAGTTCTTTTAGGCTTTTTTTTTCTTGTGTTATTGATGAAGAAGTCTTGTGATGCTTTTTGTATTAGAAAATCAAAGAAACCAAACATTTGACTTTCATTGTTGTGGAATTGAAGTGATCTTGTTATATATATATATATATGGCTAGCTTGGTTATTAATTTATTGCATATTTAATGCCCAATTCACCTAACCGTTTGCGTAATAACGGTTTGTTTCGCCACAGAGGTAAGTTTTGTTTTCACAAATGCATGACTTTTTTTTAAGTTTTGAAATTTCAGTAAAAGAGGTTAGTAAAATTTAAATCTATTTGCTGGTTTAACTATTTCATCTGTCCCTGGATGAATTTCACATTTTGATTTTCAATATTTGAGTGGGGTAATTTTTATTCCAATTAATTTAAATATCGTTGTGAAATTTTTAAAGAGTTCAAGTTTTTTTGATATTGGTTCAATTGAGACCCCTACAATACTTTAATACGGAGTATCTAGGTAACCCCCAGGATGGGCTCGACTCTAATACATCCCTCCAACTACAACCTATATTTTGTTGACTTTAGATCAAATTTTTTTATTTCAAAGTAAACAAAATTTGGAGGGTGTGTTAGGGACGAGCCAAGCTGGACGGTTTATCTATCATTAGAGAGAACCCATTATTAGGTATCCACTATCGACATTTAGTTTTTCACTTTAGATAGTCAAATCATAAAATGTTTGATACTTCGTGGAAGAGATGATTAAGACATCAAGTGTTCGATAGAAGAGACGATTAACATAATCATCTTTTGTTTACAAAAATGCTAGGGGAACCTCAAGCTTTGACACAAAATGCACAACAGGGCCAATACATGCATTTAATATTTGTGTGCGCAGATATTAAATGTCTGAGTGTGTCTGTATTGATCTTGGTGTATATTTGGTTTCAAAATCTCGGGATCTCCCTAACACTCCTCGTTTGTTTAGTACCTTGGTGAAAAATGATACTCCCTAAAATCCAAATTATTATCACTTTAGAGCTTCATTCAAATATAATTATCAATTAAGACAAATATACAAAAAATTGCATAGCATATTTAATACTATTTGTGTTCTAAATTAAGTTACATATTTTACTGTTGTGTTGATATTATCAAAGTTTAATTACTTTCTTGCCAATTTCACAAGTAATTTTTATTTTTCATTTCACACTAATTTTCAAATAAAATAAATTAAAAATAACTTGAATTAAATATCATAAATCAAAATGAATTATTTAAATTATAACGGAGAGAGTACAAGGAAATGATTTTTTTTCAAAATAAATATAATGAATCGTTTTTGTAGTAACAAGCAATGCAATTTATATTAAATTGATAATCATAGTTTACCCAATTTGACATAAAAAGATAAAATTGAACAAATGCTTTGAGATTTTGGGATTAGAGTAGTATTACTCATAGTTCAAATTGTTTTGCTTCAAACTACATTAAACATGTAATTTTAATACAAGGTACTAAATTACATAGGGAGTATTTGATACCATATGTCCATATTTATATGGGATCATGGAAGTGAATAGGAGACTATAATTGCTTTGAGTATGTTTTAGAGATGCACTAACATTTGGACACAAACATAAAAACTCTTCACTTCATTTCCTTTTAACATCTCCAACTAAACCCTCTCCAACTCTGTGATGTGTTTATTCAATTGGTCACCCAATTGCTCCCTCCATTCTTGTATCAGCTTCTCTTGCTTCCGTATGAGTTCGGTTTTCGTCTTCAACTCTTCTTCCATGTTCGCGATCTCCTATAAATGTACATTACATCATCAGCATAGCATATATATTGCAGTGGGTGTGAGGCAAGACGGGCTGAATGAGGACCGATACCTATGCCTAAGGGCGTGTTTGGTTGGAGGAAAAGGACCCCCATTTGGGTTCAAGACATTTTTTAAGGTGAGACCCAAATTTCTGCCCATGCTACCCTCTCATCAACATTTGAATGGGAGGAGAGGGGCGGAAAATTTTGGGTCCCACATTAGAAAAATATTTTGAACCAGATGAGGCGAGGGAATCATTTTCCCTCGTCTCTCCTCCCCTCCAACCAAACACACCCGGCGGATGGAGCATGTGTGGTGTCAATTTTTTATTTATTTATATTGAGGAGAACTTCTACCTTTGCACAGTATAGTTTTACCCTAATAAGTGACACTTCACCCCATGATTCATTTTCTTCATCCGATAATGCAACCCAAATTGGGTCCATTCACTTGAGCTTTGCAGCCAAGGCTTTACCACAGTCTGGGGCGCATGATCAAAGTCATCAAAGGAAATGAATTGTGGGTTGTAAAGTCGAAATCTAAGACTAAAGAACACATGCGACATAGATAGGGTGAACAACTAGAGGGGGGTTGTTAAAGCAGATAATAAATAATCAAAGAAACGAAGCAAGTGAAAGAAAGACCTTTAAGGTAGAATAAGCAAATCACCTTTCTGAGAGTACTTGCTCTACTTGGTTGATCCTCGCGTTGCAATCCAATAAAGAAAAGTTGAAGCTTTTTTGCCGCATCCATAAAATCTCTAGCATGCCTCTCTACATCAACTAAAGGAAACAGAAGAAGAGCCTTGTTGAACATACGAAGTTGGAAAACAGTACTCACATCGCACGCCAAAAAAAGTTATGTTTCAAAAGTTTTTTTTAAATCCCAAAAAAGAGATATTTCATCAAACTAATCTTACTTTTCACGTAATTTGCCAATAATTTGAACAGAGAAGTTAAAACCAAGCTAAATACAGTATGAAACATTTAGTTAAACAGACAAAAAAGTTTCAAAATATAAAAATGATTTCATGACTTCTATCAATTGTATCTTGCCAGAATTTAAAAATTTTACAAATTGTATCAAGAAGAAAAACAAAGAAACATACAATCACACCCCTCGAAGAAAAAGTCACAAGAAAAGTGAAGCTCATCAGAACTTCATCCAAATAAAGTTTAGTTCAAGTTTCCATACAAAAACAAAACATTAAAACAAACACATACTTATTCTACCCTTTACTTCTGCCGGGATTAAATAGCGCGAGAAGAAAAAGAAATACCGAGTAGAAGAATATGGGTTAGAATTACAAACTCTGGTGATAAGGATGAGCAGAACGGTCAATTGCTTGGAGCTCTCTGGCAGGTAGGCAAGGAAGCAATGCAGCTTCTAGAGCAGAAACACAGGCGATCATATCATCTTTCGGCAGAGGTGATTGTATCTGAGGATCTGCCGCATTCTGCTGATCACTGGCATGCCACTCGGTCATTTCCTTTGTCCACTATTGATATGGCCAGATCCTTCAACAGCAAGAATTCACATGCTTAGCCTTCAATAGATCACAATTTAAATTTACAGGTTAAGAAAAAACGGTTTGTTAAGAAAGAGTGAATTCCACAAACAGTCCTCTATATTTGGGGATATTCCACAAAAAACTTTCTTACTTTCCGTATTAAGGAAATGAATACGGCAATATTTGTTTCTCTTTGAAAAAATCTTATTCAAACCCTTTTATTTTTATCACATTTCTTAAAATTCGTGAAGCCAATATGTAAAGTTCATGTTTGGATAGAGAGAGTTATACATCTTTACAAGTAGCAAGGCACACAAAAATTCTTCTTCTTCATGTTTTGTTATAGTTACCTCAACTATAAAATTGCTAGACACTATGTTCTGCTCATAGACATTTCTCTTATGTTGAGAACCTGAGATACATGATAGTTCTTTTGTTAAAATTTCCCTTATATTTTGTACTCCGCATATGACTTGTACGACTCAGCATTTTTTTCTTTTACCATTTTAACTGTTCTGCGGGATGAGCAAGAAGGTTCCCAAGCTTGGAAACTATGGACACAATAAAGAATGTAAGAAGGGCTTATTAATTTCCATTCAATTTTTTCACAATCTGGTACAAGCATTATTAAAATGAAGGATGTATGTTCATATTTCAGGTTACTTAACAACAGAGCGGTTCCTTTGCATCCTCACTTGATTCGAGCTCTTTGAATCTTGACTTGTTTTTTTTAAAAAAAAATACTTTTGTATCCTAAAATGAAATTGAAATAATTTTAATAATTAACATTTTGCATTTGATTCACAGTTTAAAAATTCAATCTAATTAATTAAAAACAACTTAACTTTAATAGTGAAAATTAACCTAATTACGAACTCATACTCCCTAGTTCACAAATTTACGAATTCAAACATCACAAGTCGTAATTAAGTAGTGTCTAAAACATTTGAACAGATATTGAGTACTTACCTTGAATTGCCGGCTTGAAGGAAGCTGAATCAAACGGCGGCGATACCCCGCTGGTCGTTGGGGGAGTGCTGGAGCCAAATCTCGGTGTTCGTCGGTGTGCCGGAGATTCCGCGCTGGTCGTCGTTGAATCGTCGTCGCCGGTCGGGCGGAAGACGATGATCGTGTTTGGTTTCCCTTTCGCAGCAGCCAGCATTCAAGCAGGGCGAACGGTGAATGACGAAAAAAGGCAAAAAAAAAACTTTTTTTAAATAAAAGTATATAATCCTAATAAAAAAATACTCCATATTTTGCTAAATCCACTTCTATTTTGGCTATATTACAAATGTACAAATTTACCCCAGAAAGTATAAAAAGAGAAGAATGACATGTAAACTTAGCATAAGGATAAACATGTCTAATTCTCATAAATAAAATTGATATAGCGAAAAGTAAGGTGGATTTAGAAACACTCTAAAAAATACTACTCTTTGGTGTTTTCTTTTTAGGATGTGTCTTTGTGCTTGTAAGTAATTTTTAATTTATAAGTTGCTTATAAGTCAAATATTCTTTCGTGGAAATAAAATGACTTAAATACTAAATAAATCATTTGTAAGTAATCATAAATGGTGAGAAACAATTTTGTAAATAATTTGGTCAAAACAAAGAAAACGAAAAAAAATAATTTTAAAAAAAGTATTTAAGACATACTAATTTTTCTTAGCTTATAAGTAATTTATAAGTCAGTTTATAAGCACACAGAAACATGTCATCAGTTGACTTATAAGTTAAAAACAACGTATAATCAATTTTGACTAACTTATAAACACAAAAAAACATCCACTTTGTTCGTAAAAGAAATCTAATTTCATTAATGATTTTTTTTTATAATCTTTTTGTGACTTATATTATTTCTCTAAATTTTGTATGACTTTCAATTATATGATTTCATTTTTCTTAATAATACTGGAGTTGTTAATAATTATACCCATTTTGTTGTGAATGTGCTTTACAAGATCACGAAGATTGACCAAAAATCTTATCTAACTAAGAGCTTTACACAAAACAAATATCGCTCTAGTTTTGAGTGAAGAGACTAAGATCCACCTTCATAACATGTTTGGTGAATACTCGAGTGGACATTGCGTAGTTAGCAAAGTAAGGAGTGCTTAGGGGTAATATAGTTTGATTCCTGGCAACTACGATAAGAAAGTAACTACTCCCTCCGTCCCCCTGTATTTGTTCACTTTCATTTTTACACACCATCCAATGCACTTCTTTAATCCATTTTATCTAGTAATTTGTATATTAACAAATTATAAAAATTATATATTAATAATCTATATGTTAAGACAAATCAAATAAGATCACACATGACTATATTTAGGCTTACACATTGAGAGAATTTGATGAGTCAAAGTGTTTAGATGAACAGTTCCAAAAGTCAAATGTGGACAAATACAGAGGGACGGAGGTAGTATATACTAATCTAAGCATACGGTATCTGCAAGTACCTAGTGTAGACTTTACTTTTTGTTACAAATTTATGATTAAAATCTAATTTACTTTCTAACAAATAACTGTCCGACTGATTCTGAAGATTCTTAGGAATAGAGTTTATCCTTTGTGAACACAAAAGATAAATGTTTGACCACACCTAAACAATGTTTGGATTCGATATATCGATACCACCGCCTTCCCAATTAGAGATCTTTAATTAGAAAGATATTGACCCGAAGATTTCGACATGTCCCTCAAATGCCAGCTGTCCTATGCCTGTTACTAACCATCATTTAAATCATTTAATTCATCTTATGGTATGTTTGGGAACATGGATTTGTATTTCAAATCCGGATTTGGCCTAAATTCCATGTTTGGGAAACTTAAGCATTTTAAATTTGGATTTGAATCAAATTCTTTATATTCAAAACAAAGCTTAATTTGAAATCCATGCACCTTCCCTTGTCATTTGAAATTCTGAATTTCAAATTTTGGAATTGAAATGCATGAATTGAAATGAAATGCTAGTTGCCAAACACTACCTTAAATCTTTTTTAAAATTTTCATTTTGAATTTCAAATATCATTATTTCTTCCAGATTTTAAAATGCATACCATATCCAACATTCTTCCATTTTGTCCCTCTGCTAGTAGCTGCTGAATAGAATAAATATACTGCCTAATATTCTTTTCATAATAGAAATGAGATTTGTTTTTCATTTATATGCTTAATTTATTGCAGCAAAAGAAATGGAGAAATGTCTGAAACTCAGCACAAAATCAGCAATGGATTCTTCACTCCATTGATTAAACTAAAAGGCTAAACATAGGTCAAACCCAAAAAGAAAAAAAAGTACAACAAAAAAAAACTATGAACAATATATACTCTATAAGAAAGGAGGAAATATGAGCAAAGTGCCAGTCTTTGATCACAAAACATATCATATTTATGTACAATTGGCATTCTTATGCTACATAAGAACTTCCCGGAACACCGAATGCCTTCATTCGAGTTCCGATCAACAAACCAAAGAATGTGACGCGACACAAAAAAATATGACGAAAGATAGAGCCTATGACGATGGAGATCATTTTGTAGATCTTCAACGATTGAAAAAAAAACTAGGACGCTCCGTAGCGTCCTAGAATGGAGACCGAGATCTTCACATGCCCCTATGGAAAAAACTCGGGTCGTAATGATGCAAAGCGAAGAAAATATAGATGCAAATGAAATAGAAGTGGTGATCAAGGACGAGTGGATCGATCATAGGCTATGTAGGAGCACTCTCTTGCAAGACGGGCGATGATGAGAAGGATTATTTGTGCTTGGATTTGGCGACACGCGATCCATTCCAAATGTTTTCACAAGGAATTGTCTCTCCTGTAAGAACAGAGAAACAAAGGTGTCACTCCATTATATAGACCATCACGACTTTCTTGATGCATTAAGAAAACGAATGAATGTGGACACGACGTATGTCTACGTTCATTCAACTTTTGATGTATCGCAAAGGTCATAACTGTCAGCTAAGAGTGGATGGAGGGAGTTTATGATAGAGAGGTTCTAAAATGAATTTAAAAAGTAGCCAAATGAATGCTGGTCGTGTTTATTCGAAGAATTACTTACACTTTCAGAAAATTTTGGGCTGGGAATGGCAGAAGCTAGCATTCTGAACAACGGAGTTACAAGCAGAGGGGAGTCACATTGTTCGGCTGAATATTCACATATTGCTCTACCATTGGCACTAGCTTCCTCACAAGTTTCTACTGCATCTGATTGAAAAGAGGTAATGTAAAGAATTCTTTCAAGAGGCCAATGTAGGATAATTCCAACAGATAACACACGTGAAAAGTTGAGTAATTCTACTTTCTTGTTGTCAAACTTGGTGTCATGCGTGGTGTCCCTATAACGGGCCTCAAGTTGAAAAGGACTTGGCGTATATTTTAGTAAAGTCAAAATGACGAATAAATCTTTCTACCTTTAGAACAAGCTGCATTGCAGGGATTAGACTCGGATTTGCCCGTTGAATCTTCGGATACAACAGATGGTTTACTGCAAAAGCCAAAAAAAAGATATATAAACTTATTTCTTGAATAATCCTCTGCCCAAGGGAGACTATGGCGCGTCCGAAGATACCTCAAAGATGATTGAGGAGAGACATTAGTTCTTGTCAATTCCTTTGCTAGGCCCTTAAAATCATCAACTTGTATATTCATCTGAGAAAATTGGTTCTTGAGCACTCTGCCTTCATTTTCATTGATAAAATCTTGCACTACCTGTAAAAACAACATTCTTTTCATTTTACGTCCAATGTTCCAAAACTCCCTATGCGCTAATTCGGGATCCATTTGAGTGATTTGACACAATAGAATCACGGACCATTTGGTAGAATTTTTTTCACTTCTAAGCCAGTTTTTTTTTCACTAAAAACTGACCATTATGAATTTTGTGATGCATAAAAAGTTGAATGAATGTAGACATGATGCATGTCCAAATTCATTCCACTTTTGATGTATCATATAACTGTTAGGTTAAATGTGAATGGTGGCATTGGTGGGAGTTCTTATTTCACTGCAAAACAGTAAGAAGTTCAAAATATTCTCCTCACCTTCCATGCATTTTCAAGACTCTCATATGAATTTTCAGAATTCACTTTGAGTGCCAAAGAGCTCAGCAGTTCTGCTTGTTGCATCAACGCAAGAATCTTTGGGTCATCCTTCTTAAGAAACACTCCTTCAGTTTTACCCATAGATGCTGCAAATCATTATCCAAATCAAGATTCAGTTAATCATCTCTTAAACTCATGGAATGGTTGAAAAATACTTCAGAAAAAAAGTTATCTTTGTAAAAATTTCATCTGATATTTTACCATCTTTGGTTGCATGCTTAATGTTGACATTGCTCGCCAAACTGGTCCCGAAATTAGGGAGGTTTTGAGCTATTACTGAGAATGGAGATCTTTCCAGCTGATTTGTTGTATTAAAAGCCAAACGTGATTGTTCTCCATTACTGCAAATATCTCGAAGATCCGATATATGGTTCTTCCTATTGGGTTCAAGTAAAATGGAGTTAATCCCAATCTGATATTTTAAAAACATATCAAGGACAACATTTGGGTTTTGGGTTTCAAACTTATATTTTGGGTCCAACCCGAAAAGCAAATTACTAAAATGCAAAATAAATTATAAATTACAACAACAACAATAACAACAAACTCAGATCACACACACATTAATGTTCATGCATATATGAGTTTATAAGAAGTTTTAGGACATAGATTACCTTAGCTTATTGATATTGACTTCACTTGAAAAGCTAATCCTCTTATTGTTTAAATTAATGAATGGTTTTTTGTTTTCCTTGTTAGCACCAAATGCATCATTCTTTGCCTTCTTTCTGCACAGTGTCGTGAACCGGTTCTTCACCGCATTATCTGTTCTGTATGAACGGATAAAGAAACACATTTTAAAACACAATGCATACCCTAAAATCTTTTCCATTTAAAACTCAGAGACAACAACCCCAGTAGAATCCCACAAAAAGTAAGGTTAAGAAGGGCGTGTGTCGCAGACCTTACCCCTACCATGAAGTAGAGAGGTTGTTTCCAAGGTATAAAAGAATAAAACCCTAAGGATACGTTTTATAAGCCGTGATGGAACATAATGTGATTTATTAAAATGCATTGAGTTCCATTACAGTTTCCCAAATGTTACCTAAGAACTGTTCTTCTTACCTGCCGGAGACCACCTTTGCAATTTCAGTCCATCTGTTGCCGAAAATCCTCTGTGCCTGCACAATACCAAATCAAGAAAATAAGCTATCTTAAGCCAAGAAGTCTCGGGCACTTAGGTATGGTCTGTTTGCTTGCAAAGAAATAAACATCTTGAAAGTGTTTTCATAACAAAGATATCGGGAAAAACGTACCAAACATGAGACTTTTTTACAGGAATAATAGTTTTCATGTTCCAAAACAAGAAAGTAAAGAAAAACATTTTCTCGAAACAAATGGATCCTTAGTTAGACAAAGGTTCATCACATGATGGGCAGCTGTAAATTTTGAAAAGGACCAAGTTTTACCTCACATAAGAGCATGTCTTCTTCAGGTGACCATCCTCCCTTCTTAAAATCAGAGTTCAAATAAGTGAACCATCTGCATAAGTGCATAACAAACAGACTTCAAGCTGAGGTTTGAGGACTAACTCATATTCTTTTATATTAGTCTTTTTTTAGTCTGAGATTTTATATCCTCAACACCCCTCCTAAAGTAAAATTTAGGTTTTTTTAATCCAAATTATCACCCGGTCTTCATTTTTCGCTCCAAATTATCACCGTGTAGAAATGTGAGATTCCAATTGAGAATAAGAGGGGTAACTCATGTTCTTATATCCCTAGTCTTCTTCAAATTGGATGTTCTTTGTTCAAAGTGGAACTTTATAACAAGTATTGAAATCCATTGATATACACAAAGATGGTTAATCAAACTAACCTCCTCCTGCATTGCCTGGCTGTTTTGTCCTTGAACTTTGATGCAATGACAGCCCAGCTGCAGAAATGTGGATAACATTGAGTCAATCTACCAGTAAAGATTTGCTTTTTGAGGGAGGAAATTTGAAAGAAAAAAATGGTTAAATACTTATTTTGAATCCATTTCATTCATAAAAAATGTGTGCATGAAAGAATATTTAAAAATTCTAATCCAAATCTATTTTGTATGGAAATTTGGTAAACCAAACATTTAAATATAAAAAATCTTTTACACATCAAGAAAAAATTGTAATGATTCCTAAAAAAAATTGTTATGATTATACAGCTAAAGAATCTCACTTCTCTGTCCCATGGAGTCTGATCTGCTCCCTTAGTTCATCATCCTCCTGCAACACAATCCAGCCCAACAAAAAACAAGAACCAGATTAAAGAATGCCTAATAAAATCCCACAAATTCAAATCTTTTTTGCTTATATAAAAACCCTTTAAATAACCAGTATAAAGAATTCTTAATAAAATCACATTCAATTCTTTATTTATGTTAAAACATTAAACAACCAGTTTAAAATAATCCCCAATAAAATCCCAAAAAAATCAATTTTTTTAAAAAAAATCACATAATAAAGTTAAAATAGTACTAACAAACCTCTTTGGACCAAGAAACAACGTGTCTCTCTTTAGGCTTTGGAGCTTCATTGACACTCTCATTACCTTTCTTCTTCATTTTTTCATTATCATTAAAAGACACCCTTTTGGGTGAAGAATATAAATAAATAAAGGGAAAATAAGGGGGGCAAAAGGGGAAACAATATTCACTCCCTTTCTTGCCCTTTACATTCACTGTGAATCTTTCTCCATAAACGGAACACCCATTACCAAAATACCCATTCAAGCACCTGCCTCGGATTCGGGCACAAAATCGGATTTTCCGGGTTTATAAAACCGATCAAGATTTGGGTATTACTGAAAACAAGAATCTGTTTGGGAAACTTTAGGATATAAATAGGCTGATAGGGGGGAAATGGGGAAGAAGGCTTAGGTTTGAAAAGCAACGCTGAAATCCACGAGAGTATGGTAGTAATAATTACAGTACTTCCTCGTCCAAGTGTTCTTTTAACTTTTTGAAAAATAAAATTTTGCTCGTAATATAAAAATAATTCAAAATAAAATTTTAAAAAAATCACTCTGAATATGTATAAAACATCGAAAAAATATCAAAAAAGGAACTTCATGCTTTTATTTCTAAAATAGTACTCCCTCTGTCCACCATAGATCTTCTCAGACACTATTCACAGAGTCAAACTTTACTCACTTTGTTTGCTCAATTTTAATAGTCATTTCATAAAATAATATAGTCTTGTCACCTCTAGTTTTGTAGAACTTTTTGTGTAGTTTATTACTATATAAATTTTATTTTAAAATTTTACTCCTATAATCAATTAAATTGAATTGAAAATAAAGTCGGTCAAGCCTCGTAACGCGTAATGGAAAGATCATACATGGACGGAGGGAGTAGTTTCCATTGTGGTAATGTGACACTGAGTACGTACATGGTAACATATATAATCATGATTGACACTTTTTATGCATTTTAATTCTCAATTCGAGAATAAAAATAAGGAACTCTTATTTTGATATATTTTCAATATTCTACTCTTATTTTAGTCTTTTTTCCCTAAAATTTATTTGTAAAAAATTTATCTATCTCAAATATTTTTAACTTTTCTTTTTGATGCCCCAAAAATATTTCTTATTTACTATTTTCTATAAGACTTTATGCAAGACCAACTCTTCTAAAATAAATTAGTGTTAGAAGAAGCACATATCCTAATCTTATACGAAGTAATGCATTCAGCACACACTAGCATTTACAACATTCGAGTGTGACTTGACTCATATAGCTTCCGTCACCAGACAATCGATCCACGCATAATCAACATTTTCTTACTCCCTCTGTCCTAATTATAATAATGCTTTTTGTGAGTGAGAAAATATTTATATTATGTAGTAGAAGTGAGTAAAAAATAAAGTATCAAACCGATCCTGAAAAAACTGAACCGAAATAACATTAGCCCCAAATAATTTTAGGGGCCAGTTCCTATGACATTTGGAATCAATGTCATAAGATGACCCAGAGGTGCTCTGGTGCCTCGTTCGTAAAATTGATAGTTTTTACCTCTCTAACCCCCTGGAAAACACTCCCACCTCGCCCCCGAACACACCCTCCACCTCCTTCAATTGTACTTCCAAGTTAATTTTGATTTTGACGTCAAAATTTGATTCAAAAGCCAAAATTAACTTAGGGGTGCAATTGAAGGAGGTGAGAGAGTTTACCGAGAGAATTATGGAGGTAGGAACCGTCATTTTTACGAATAGACCGGAGCACACCCGAATCATCCCATGACATTCATTTCCAGTGTCATGGGAACCGAGACATAATTTTAACGGCTTTTCTTTTTTCACGAAACACTTCCTTAATTAATTAATTTCTTACCAATGGATACATTGCTAACAAGAATTTTCTACTATTGAAATTAATTTCAATCATATACTTTCTCCATCACTAAACAATATACACATTTTACTATTCAAAAATCAGGGAAATATATTTCTCATTTTCTAATGTTTCTTTTTAACATAAAAGTTTGTCTTCAGGCCTGTTTAGGAATAACGTTGGAGATTAACATTAGCGTTTTGGATAAAAATTTAACGGTACTGTTAGAGTTTATCCCACCTCGGAAGTTGAATAGAAAAGTTATCGGTATATAAGGTCTTGAGTTGAACTAAGTAATCGATTGGATTCAATCTTGTAATGTGGTTCAACCCAAGTGTCTTATTGCCCAATCGAGTTGTCCATACCCCATCCTAAATTCTATCATGGTATCGGAGCAGGTTTTGGCCCACCTCGTTTGTCAAGGTGTCCGTCTAGACGTTCATTCCTAGCGGCCTGTTTGTCTTTAGCCCAGTTGTCCGTATGGAGGGTACCCAACGGCCTGTGGCCGATTTAACATGATTGCTCGTCTGAAAGTTCATACCCAGCGGCTCGTGGTCTTTAGGTGTTGGCGCTCAAAAAAAAAGTCAAGGGATTGGGAGTTCATTTGCAAGTGGTCAACCGGTTAGATTCAAAATGGCCCGGTTGTCCACTTGAGGGGGAGTGTTAGAGTTTATCCCACCTCGGAAGTTGAATAGAAAAGTTATCGGTATATAAGGTCTTCAGTTGAACTAAGTAATCGATTGGATTCAATCTTGTAATGTGGTTCAACCCAAGTGTCTTATTGCCCAATCGAGTTGTCCATACCCCATCCTAAATTCTATCAGGTACAGATTACTATGAAAATGTTAACGCTAAGCGTAGATAGTTTTTTCAAAACGCTTACACTAATCTCTAACATTATTTTCAAACATGACCTTCATGTACCAAACTTAAATATTGACACTGACGGTTCTGTCATTATCACGGAGTATTATTAACTAATTCATTATCATTGTTGACATAATACCGAGTAATATTTGTGTAAATTTGAAAATAGTTGAACTTTTGTTTGGATACTTGATTCAAGTTTTAATTCTATTCGTATTTATGTTTGTCTAGTTTGACTTTTTTGAATCAAAATGGATGAACTTTAGACATCAATTAAATAAAAATAGTAATGTATTTTACTATTTTAGCATAAAAATTGTTTCAATAGATTTAATCTATTGAGTACTATTAAAATTTTAATTTATTGTATTGATATGCAACATAAATTAAAAATAATCGATGATTAAAGTTCATCCAGTTTGACTCGGAAAAAGTCAAATTGGACGATACACTGGAACGGAAGATGTGTGTGTATGTGTGTGTGTATATGTGTGTGTGTGTGTATAATGAATTATATTTGATAAAACAAATTTAAAAAAAATATTTATTTTAGAATAAAAAATAGAATAAAGAGTGAAGAGATAGGAGTAAAGCCCACATAAGTATATAGTGGAAATGTGTGGTGGGAGTATTTCTTGAATTTTCTTCCTTGTGCTCATTGATTTGTCTCTAGGTTTATTTATTTAATTTCCACTTGTTTTCTTATGTTTTTTTTTGGGTTTTAATTTACGCAATTTAATATTAATTTAATATTACTTGACAGCCTTCGTGACCCAACTACTGCTTATCATGTTCATCACACTACACACATTTTCACATTCATTTCCCATTTCAAATTTAATTTTTCCCTCCAGTAGTCCAGTATACTACTTTATCAACTTGTACATTCCACAAAAAAATAAAAATAAATTTTACTCCGTAAGAAAACACTCTTTTTTTTTTGTAAAATAAATTTATCTGTGTCAACAATCTAATAAAATATTACTTTATCTATTTATTAAAATACTTCCTCTTTTATATTTCTCTCTTTCTGCATAACATTTTCACTTTTTATTTAAAAAATTACTTTTACCCTTACTTTTTCTTACGCTACCCATCACATTATGCTTTTTATTACTTCCTCCGTCCCAAATTATTTGCCACATTTGTATTCCCGAGGCAAAATATCAAGTTTTTTCAATTCATTTTATTTACAAATTAGTATAGAAATAAAAAATAAAATTTACATATCAAAAAACTACATGAAAAGTTCTTCCAAATAAGAGGTGTCAAGAATATTTTATTTTATCAAATAACCAATGAAAACGTCAAAATAAACAAAAGTTCCCGCGACTACTGAAAAAGCAAATGTTGTGAATATTTTGGGACGGAGGGAGTAGTACATAATCTATCTGTAGAAACTATAGGACGTTGAATTGGTTTGTTCCATTGATACAAAACAATATAAATATACATCGGTGATACAAACGAAGAGTCCTCCCGGTGATACACACGAGGAGTCCAACCTAACTAGCTCAATGCAATGAATGTTGCTATTATACATAAAATACATGTGCTAACACTCCCCCTCAAGTTGGAGCATGAATATCAAAAATGCCCAACTTGGACAATAAACAGTGAAATAGAGGACCAGACAACGCTTTAGTGAAGATGTCTGCAGTTTGGAGACGCGTAGGAACATAAGCTGTGACAACATGATTTCGCTGGATGCACTCTCGAATAATATGACAATCAATATCAATGTGCTTCGAACGCTCATGAAAGACAGGATTGGCGGCAATAAACAAAGCAGATTTATTATCACAATATAAACGAGGAGTTGCCACACAAGGAACATCCAAAGCAGCCAAGAGCCCACGCAACCACCTTATCTCGGTACAAGCCCGATATTCAGCCTCTGCCGAAGAACGGGAAACGGTAGTTTGCTTTTTAGTGCGCCATGAA